TCATCATCTTCATCATCATCTTCATCATCATCATAATATCTGTAATAAAGAAACATCCCAGGTGGAAGAAGGCCCGCCCCTCTCTCTGCCTCTGATTGGCTTACCGTGAGGTTCTTCCCTTGTCCAGCCAATCACAAGTCTCCACCTCTCTGAGCCAATCAGAGTCGGTGTGTGTCCGCAGACCCACCCACGAGCCCCGTGTTCGTGTTTGTGAGTTTGTGAGTGTGAGCACGATCTCGACCTGTCGCGTGGAAACTGAGGTCATTTCTTCTTCTGTCAGGGGAAATGTCGAATCCCGGCTTCGGAGGAAACGTCGCGTCGGTAAGAATCCGTGAGAATGTGACGGGATGTGGAGAAAAGGGCGGAAACATCCGTCCTCCACTGCGGAAGTGACTGAAAGTGTCTCTAGGATCATGAAGCAGAGTTCCAGCTCAGAGATCTGTGTTTTAAAGTAATTATGAAGTGAAGTGTTTCCTCGTCTAAGAAGCAGTTAAACACCTGAACTGTACACTCTTAGAAATGAAAGTGCAAAGAAGACCAATGGTTCTTTGGCTTATCCCCATAGAACCTTCTTCTGTTCCTGATAGAACCTTTTCATTTGACCTAGAACACTTTTAAATGGTTCTGCCACTGTGTTGTTACTGCTTTTACTTTAATTAGAATTTGCTTTGCTGTTACTATTGCTATGCTGTCACTGCACTTTGAAATACCATAGCTGCTATGAGGGTAATCTGTCTATCTATCTATCTATCTTTTTATCTGTCTATCTATCCATCTGTCTATCTGTCTATCTATCTGTCTATCTATCTATCTATCTATCTATCTATCTATCCATCTATCTATCCATCTATCTATCTATCTGTCTATCTATCTATCAATTCTGTGATGACAGGGGGAACACCTGTTCTGTGTGCGGACCTGAATCTTGGGTTATTAGTGAAGTGGTTAGAACACAGAGTACAGGTTGCGACACAAACACCTGACGTGTTGTTTAATTGCATGTCATGACATGATGAGTGTGTGGGTCGTAATTTATGGATGAACGATGTAAGACTTGTCTTGTACATTATGTAGAATTGTTTAAATTCCTTCTGGAAACCTGTTGGACAGAATTGAACAAAGCCTGACTTCATGCTTGTGGGTCTTTGCGACATTTTTGGAAATCTGTAGATCAGCTGCATGCTTGCATATGAAAATGAAATGGAGTGTGAAAAGATAGAGTAAGTAAAGTTTATTTTTTGGTTTGTAACGTATATTAATCTTTCTTTCTAAATCAGCTTTCATAAAACAACCTCATGTACCAAATGCTTTACGTGACAATAAACAGAACTAGAACATCACTCAGTATTTTAATAATACTACTAATAATAATAGTAATAATACGAGTAAGAATAAGAAACTAAACAGACAATTCATTAGAAACTATTACAGTGGATTTTGTGGCAAAAGTGGTTATAAATCTTGTTTTTCTTGTTTTGCTTTAACATGATGGCAAAGAAAGAGGAAATAACAGAACAACAGTAAAAGACCAGTTCACACAAAACCTCTCTTTTGTCTTTTGTCTCTCTCTGCAACAGGATCCACTCTATGGATATTTTGCAGCTGTTGCAGGACAGGTGACTCATTCAAGATATTCACCTTTGTATTACTGAGCCTGATAATTCAGCGTGACCTGAATTGTTATCTGGCTGCTCTCTGACGCTTTTGTTTTTCTCTCCTCTGCTGATCTTCAACAGGATGGACAGATCTCGGCAGACGAGCTGCAGCGCTGCCTCACAGGGTCCGGCATCTCTGGCTCATATCAGCGTAAGAACACCAAACCGAACACCACGCCTGCGACAGGCAGTGGCCAGAGGTGTTATGTTTTTGGGTTGTCCATTTGTCCGTCGCATTCTTGTGAAAACCTTGAGGGAATTTCTTCATATTCGATACAAACAATCTCTAACTGTTTAGATTTTGGTGGTAAGAGGTCAGGGTCACTGTGACCTGTGCTGACGGTGTGTGTTCTCCTTTGCAGCCTTCAGCCTGGAGACCTGCCGACTGATGATCAGCATGCTGGATGTATCCTTCCCCCATCGACCTGACTTGATGTTAGCATAGCTAACTGAGTGGAAGTTGTTAATGACTGAACTCTTGATGAGCTTCATGGGCTCGGTCCTGCACCTCAAAGCGTCATGCAGGTGTGGTCATAGCCTCAGGCAGTGGAGAGGGGTTGGCCTGCTCTGGAGTCAGTGGCTCAGTATGTCACAGTAATTTAAATGGCTCATCGTCATGATAGTAACTCACACCACCGTAGGCAGGAGCACAAGAATTGAGCATTCGGTGCAAGATGATCTGTTTGTGTGCAAAGCAAAACGTTTTCCTCTTAAGAGAAAAGCATTCTCCGTCACTTCCTGTCAAATCGTCCAGCCATTATAATAGCAACCTGCCGAGGTAGTTAGTTATTTTATTGACACAAATACAACAATTGTGTCCAAGCAATATAAAATATACATACATACATTCATATACATACTAGTAAAAACTGAAATCAAGAGGTGATACAATCATCATTCATCTAAATGGATGAACTCAGTTCAGTGGAGTCATGTCCATACTTCTTATTCACCAGATTTATAAAAGCTTTCATAATGTTTTGTTTCCTCGAGTGGGATTTAAAGATTAAAGGTATAAAACTGAAAAAGATCGAACTGAGGTAAAGGGAGCTCCTCTCCTGGGAAGCAATGATTCTGGAGAGGTGTGTGTTGGATCCTTGACCGACCGCTCTGTCTTAGAGGGACATGTCCGGCACCATGGGCTTTGCTGAGTTCAAGGAGCTGTGGCAGTCTCTGAACCAATGGAAGACTACCTTTGTATCGTACGACCAGGACCGCAGTGGAACAGTGGAGGGCCACGAGCTGCAGAAGGCCATTGCCAACTTTGGTTTGTGAAAACTAACTCAACAGCATCATGTGAGACATGGATGTGGATTACATGTCGTATGTTACGACTAGTTTCCTCTGGATCTTACATAGAACCGATTTTATTCAGACCACCTCAAAAGTTGTAATTGTAGTGATACAAACTTTGAAAGAGCTTTTTTACAGTAAACAAACTACAACAGAGTATTAGGACCATGTTGAAGAAAAAATTGTACAAGAATGAAGTTGTAGTATTAGAAGACAAAAGTCAGAGAATTGAGTAATAATCTTTTGGAGAAAAGTCATAAGATTGCAAGAACAAAGTTGTATTTTTAGTAGATTAAAGTCACAATATTACAAAAATAAGTTGTGGCATTATGAGAAAAGTGGATTTTATGAGAAAAAACGCGTAAAATATTTTGAGAAAAGGGTAAAAGTCTGAATAAGAATTGTGAGAGGTCCTTTTACAGTAAACAAACTGAGTAACAGTATTATGGTCGTGTAGAATTAAAAATATTTAAAAGTACAAAGTCATGATTTTTCAGACCTAAATCATAATATTGAGAAAGAAAAACTATGACACTTGGCTGAAGTGTAGTGTTGTTTGTGTGCAGGTTACAGTTTGAGCCCTCAGGCCCTGAACATCATCATGAAACGCTACAGCTTGAACGGCAGGATCAGCTTTGACGAGTTTCTGAGCTGCTGCATCAGACTGCGGATCCTGACTGGTGAGTGGCCGAGGAAATGCTTTTAATACCATCGGCTAACGTTTGCTAGACCAGGGAGCGCTCAACGCCACCGCTGCCACAGAAACAGACCAGCAGCTCGTCTTCTGTCTACGAATTCCACGAAACTCTCTATGTACATTTACGTGTGGTGTAAACAGGAAGTCGATCGTCTACTCTGCAGTTGGTTGCTTACTTACAGCTATGGTGAAAAGTAAGAGCAGGGATTTCTTTTCCAACAGGAAGCGTTAGGAACGCTCTGTATTCGCCGCTGGTGGTCGAGTCATGTGACTGATAAGAACCAGTCAGGAAGAGAGAACGTGGGCATCATCGTTTACTAAAGTTCGTCCAGAATAAAACACAACCCCAGAGTTTTCAAACTGAAACAAGACCAGTTCACACAAGTCTCTGATCCAGAGAACTCTGGGGTAGTGTGGACACCAGGCGTAACCATAGCAACAGTGATGTAAAACTAAAAAGCAGTTGTGTGGTTACAGCACATAGCGCATTGTCGTAATATCCCTGAGCCGCGAGTCCCTGGTTGAACCGGGGCTCAACTCTGCCGTCGCTGCGTGTCTCTCACATTTGCTTCTGTTCTCTCTGTCCCTGTTGAATTCAGTTCAATTCAATTCAATTTTATTTATATAGCGCCAATTCATAATTTACATTATCTCAAGGCACTTTACATTTAAAGGTCAAGACCTTAAAACAATATTAACATAGAGAAACCCAACAGTTCCCACAATGAGCAAGCACAGGCGACTGTGGAGGAAAAACTCCCTCATTAACAGGGAGAAACCTCTGGCAGAACCAGGCTCAATGTGGGCGGTCATCTGCCTCGACCGGTTGGGGTGAGGAAAGAAAAGTAAGGGGGGAGGAAAGGAGAGATGGGTGAAAAGCGGGGGAGAGAAGAGAGATGAGGTGGAGAGAGAGAGACCGGTAACAATTTGGCACCATCAAAATCAAGGCTAACCTACAATAACAATGTATAGATCTACAACATGACTAGATATATTAATAAATTGCTGAGGTCTTGTAATAAATGCAGACAATGGTGATGGTGGTCGTTGTGGTCCTGTAGTCCCGGTGCCAGAGTTATCTGAAACGAGATAGAGAGAAGAGCCAGAGGGACTATGGGAGGACAAAGTGACACTTTGACATGATGACATGTTAAAACTAATAAATAAATAAATAAATAAATAAATAATGAAGCCATAAAATGCCCCCACAAAGAAAACCAAAGAAAACAGGGTGTCCCTCCCTCTCGTGGCCGTCACCACAAGGCTCAAAGTCTGGAACAAACCAGGATTTAAATATTGTGTTTTTATCTTCCAGATCAGTTCAGGAGAAGAGACACGGCCCAACGTGGCAGCGCCTCGTTTCAGTACGATGAGGTAGGTCTCAGAGATTCTGCTGCTCCAGAACATCAGACAGTCTGTGCAGTAGAAACTGAAGGATGGAGCTGAGATATCGAGCTGGAAACATCGGTCACGTGTTTATATCCTCTGATAATGCTGCGTGTTTCTCTGTCTCCAGTTCATCCAGGTCACCATGAGTGTTTGAAGAGGAAACATTAATTAACAGCACGTGATCTTTATATGACTTATACTTTTTATCACATCTCTTGTACTCACTGTAACATTCCTTTTCATGATGAACGGGACACTCGTCTGGCTGTCACCCTTCCTTCTGTGTAATGTATGAAGTAAATAAACATGTAGCGTCTCCACTTGGTGTGTCACAGTGTTTTCTTTCGTCGTTTTGAACTTTGACAAACCGCAGATGAAGAATAGAATTCTGTTTCAACTCCAGCTGCTTCAGAACTCAGCTGCTCGGATGTCGTCCAAGTGTCTGCGCTGGCTGCTTCAGAATTATATTGTATTTTTTATTGCTTTATAAAGTTCTTGGTCTTGCCTATTGGGCTATTAATTGAATTGTATTTATGCCATTTAATACTCTCTCTATTGGAATGTGTTTGACTGTTTATTATTCATTGTTTTACTTCTGTAAACCCAACTGTTTATTTGTGGGTCTCTTTCTCCTCTTCCAGTATTTTTTAAAATCTTTATTTATCTTCCTTCATCATTTTCTCATTTGTTTGAGTATTTTTATCTGATCTTAATCCTCTCTGTGGATGGAGTGAGGTGAGGGCCGCAGTAAGTATTCTTTTGTTTGTTTTTATGACCATTGCTTAACATATAATGTGTGTGTGTATATAAACATAAATCCATATGTATGTGTCTGTGTGTGTTATATCATATATAACTCTTGTGGCCTTTTGTTTTTACACTCTTTTCTTGTCAGTCGACTGTAAAACTCTTCAGACACAAAGACTCTCCAAAGCCAGTAAAAGGTCATTTCTCAGAGTTGTAATTGTACACCAGCGCCATCTTCAGGTGATTCATTAGCTTAGCATGTTTACCAGCCTCACTCCACACTATTCCTCCTTTTCATGAGTCCGTTGAACTCCATTTGCTTTATTTAATTCGAAGCTGTGAAAGAGGTTTTGGCTCATTCTTCTGCTGTTCATCTTTGTTTTTTTTCAAACCTCTCTCCAGAGAAAGTGAACGAAATCTTCAAACCCCAGTTTGACTTTGAATCTAAATGATGAACTTTATTTCTTTCTCACAAACAAACACAGAGATAATTATAATCTTGTTGGTGGAGATAACGTGTTCGACCCGTGGTTCGCTCGATGTTCTTATGAAAATAATCAAACACAAAATGCAAAAACAATTTTACTCTTTGAAAAACTGGCGGATAGCTTTGAGAAGCTGCTTCTTCACGTTGGGTTGATCTGACACCAGAGAAAGCAGGTGAACATAATCTGTCCACTGTTTGTTTTTCAGGACTTCCAGGAGATGATAAAAAAGCTCCTTCTTCTGCTGAGGACTGAGCTCCATTAAGACCTGAGGCAGCGGTTTGAATGTGTCCTGGTACATCCCGAAGCCCAGCAGGCCTCCGAGAGTACCGCCTGTAGGGAGGAGAGGAAGAATGAGACAATATTCATCTGTCCATCAGTCGCACTCACGTTTCAAATAAAGACGTTTATCTCTCGTTTCAAATGAGTCAAGATGATGGTAAATATTTTAAATGAGTTAGAGGAGGGGATGGGTTTTTTCTTAACCCCTACATACCCACAAGAAGACCAGGAGGACCGAAGAAAATCGCTCCAACAGTGGCTGCGGTTCCAGCAATCCCTCCGCCCGCAACTGCTCCGTTCAGTGTGGTCCTGATTTCCTCATAAGGGAATAACTCACAGCACAGCTCTATGACATCATCAACTCGACCCATCTGTGAAGCGGATTGAGAATATTTATATCCAGTCACTAAAAGTCATGAGTCATGCGTCATGTTACAGATGAAAATCAGAAGGTAAGTCTGTCTTCTCAGCTCAATTGAGAAGTGTGCAGCATCTTAAGTTGAACTTTAGTAAAAGTTTCACAGAAAATACTTTTCATCGGCTCCACGCGATCAGAGACTTTACTCTCGTACTATTTGCAACCTCACTCTCTTTTTTTCTTTAATAGGAGTACAAGTACCAACATTACTACAGAGTACATGATGTGCTGCACGTCCTGAATACTGTGGCTCGTTAATGTTCTTCTAAGACAGCTGCTGTAAACTATTTGAGTCCCTTTAACGAAACCAACACGTACTACGTGAGTTGAGCTTCTCAGCCAATGTCGAAGGTTGGACGAAGCTCCAGAGAGGACAGAAGGGAGAAGACAGTGGTCAGGCTGGTGCTGCCTGGGACAGAGGGAACCAATCTGATTCTCCTCATCTGTGTTGTAGTAGAATAAAGCTTTGCCAAATTAAAATAATAACATTGAGTTTCAAGCAACATTAAGGCTTTAAGTGAAATGTCTAGAGAGGACAGTAATGATCAAATATGTCTGATATACACACATGTGCTGTATGTACACACATGTGCTGTATGTACACACATGTGCTGTATGTACACACATGTGCTGTATGTACACACATGTGCTGTATGNCACATGTGCTGTATGTACACACATGTGCTGTATGTACACACATGTGCTGTATGTACACACATGTGCTGTATGTACACACATGTGCTGTATGTACATGTGCCTCGTCCAACTCAACGTACATTGAACATGAGAAGATTTAACAGGAGATCACAGGTGTTACCTTCGGTGGAGAGGTCGATCAGCTTCGTGTTGCAGACAGAAGCACAGCTCAGGGTGTTGGTGGCTCAGAGGAGGAGGGTCGTCTAATCCACAGTGGGCACATAAACATCCTGCCTGGGTTCTCTCATCAACACACTGTACACGAGGGGAACATGATCGGACTATCGGGCGCCTCGGATTTATAAGATGATGATGAATGACTGATTGTTGTAAAGTGAACTGTAGATCGAGTTGTTATAAGTTTGCTTTAGAGGAGCGCATTCCTCCGTTATCTCGTCATCACAACGAAAGTGAAACCAAAATTCCTGGAAGTGTGATTCAACTTCACGGAAATCCTTCCAGTACTTTTTGCTTGTCTGCCTGCGAACAAGCAAACGAACACAGATGAACACACAACCTCCTCAGCTGAGGTAAATGTGTCCGACTGTAAAAAAGGCCTTTTAGTTTTATTGCTCCATAAACGAGACAAACAGCAGAACCACAGACTGCATGAAGAGCTGTTAGACTTGAAACCAGATCCACCACCGCTCAGACTGGTTTCACATGAACAAGCAGGTGTTCCTGAGGAAGTGAGCGTGTTTCCTCTCTAAACTACTAACACACACTGGTTTATGTCATCTCATCACATTTAAACCAGCGATGAAGAAGCAGGAGACGTTTGCAGAACGGTAGTTTTAATATGAGATGTAACAGTTTTACAAAATGGCTGCTATTTGATTTGAAAGTACAATTTTAGCATCACACTGACAAAATGCAAACTTCAGGCCTGAATAGGAAGAAGCCTCATGTTGAACATTGCTGCACGTTCACAGTTCGTATATGTTTGTTCTACAGCTACTTCAGAGAAAACAAAATCATGGTTACAAATGATTCCTTCAGCTCCGACCCGACTTGATTCTCAGATTATGGCTGATTTCAAGAACTGAAAAGAGAGAAAGAAAACAACGTGTTAATAAAACAAGTAACCTTCAATAACTTCACATTCCAAAGGACCAAGTTACTTGAAAACGAACTGGTTCAGCTTGTTTTCAAGTGACACACACTCACAGATATCAGTTGCCTAAACATCTGTTTGTTAAAGTCAAAGCATGACATCCTGCTCTCGAACGATCCTTGTCCCACTCTGTTTCCTGTTTTCGCAGCCAAGCGAGATAATCACAGTGAGGAAGAATGTGAACGAAAGCTGGAACCTTTTTGAGGAGAGACTTTAGAAACTGGATTTCTCAGAGGAAAATAAACCCATGTACATGCTGACCTTTAATTTCTGTTGGCAATGAAATGATATCTTTCTGCTGTCGCTAAATAAACAGTGAAAATAGAATTTCTCTGGTAAGATGAATCCAAACATCGGCTGCACACTCACCTGCTTGAAAGAGAAGCTGGCGACTTGGCAGTCACACGGCAGATTCAGCAGATGGGCCTCGAAGCGATCTGAGACAGAAAATATTCTGTTGACAAATCTAAAGGTGAATCTGGATTTCTACACCAAATGTACGAGATATTTGAAAATGTGTGGACACAATCTCCATGTGTCAGCCAATGATGGACTCTAACAAATCACATTTGGATTTCGAGGTAGATTTTTATAAGGTTTTGCTTCGGACATGGACACATCTATCAGAACGCATGATGCTGACAACACGTGACGAGCAGCGATCCATCTGATATGAAGTTTATTTGTAGATTTATTTCATATATTTGTCGGTTTGGTTTATTGGAAGGTAGCAATCAACGTCAAGGTGCATTACCGAATATATTTGTCTTTAGCCATCGCTCGCAAATATGTTTGTCTGTAAAAGGAAGTGATGTCACCGCTACGATCATGTAACAGCTGGGACTGTTTACAAACTGAACGTCAACACGTTCTTCTCTGGGCTCAGATATTTCTTAATACTTAAAGTCTGTATTTACAAGAAAGTACATATCTGTAACGTGGCATCTGTAACTTTTACTGGAGTTCTCTTGTCTGTCTGCACTAAACGTCTCCTCCTCCACTGGCGTGAGCCGTGTTCACTTCTTTGTGATGCTCAGACTTTGATTCTTGTTGGTTGCTGATATTTACCTCTGAGGATCTGAAGTTTTGTCAGCAGCGCCACATACTCATCATAGTCGATCCCACCTCGGGAGCCGTGCTCGTGCCACAGAGTTTGGAAGGTTTTATCATCTACACGGAAGTCTGAGTGACAAAAGACCAACTGATTAACTCAGGCATCTGTCTAATCTTCAGCCTTCGCATATTTTGAATGTATTTTCTGATTTAACGGCAGAATTGAGCGTTAAAAGATAAATGATGATTCGTGTATTTTTACCATGGACAGCCAGAGCTTTTTTCATTTGGGTTTGAGTGACGGCGGATGGATTCCTCCTCTCGTAGCTCTCCACATACTCCCTCCTGATAATGGCCACATAATGCTCCAGTTTGAAGAGCTCCACCACGTCCAGGTCTCCAGTGTTGTCTGACTGAATGTGTTATCAAAGAGCTCAAATGACATTCATCACGATTCCTTCTTGTGGAACAATACTCTGAATATAACTGAATATAAACCAAAATATCACAACATCTTGGTCTAAACTGCTGGTTTACATGAATTCTCAGGTTTTGCCGAAAGGATTCGACTGGGAAAACCAAAACTAAGGAGATAAAGGGAGTCATCATTCTATATATGATGATATATGCTTTACTGTTTGGGCAGTTGACTGCAAAATAAAGATGGATGACAGGTCTCCACTTCCTCCCACTAAACAGAGATGGAGCCAACATATCTTTGATTCAATCGCTGCCATCTTTCACTGATGACGTCATTGGAATTCAGAGCCAAGGAACTTTTACTGTTTGTCTTTAAAAAGTCCTGGTTGACTGCACTTGAACATACATCAGAGCCACCACCAGGGGGCAATTGAGTAACTTTGAGTTCACTATCTTCCAGGGCGTCATGTTGTCCATCTGTATTTACAGTGTTGTGGCTGGTGCAGAAGTCTGAGTTGTAAAGGATACGTCCTTGAGAGTCAACAGCAGGCGGGCCGTCTTGAGACTCAGCGCTAAAATGGGGAAGAATGGATCGAGTTTCAACTTTTATCATTCACATGAGATAAGAGTTAAACTTAGTGGGAAGAAAACGGACATTTGCCACGAACAGTGAAGCCACCAGCATTCAGTTTAGTAAGAACAGCTTCAGCATTCAGCATCTGTTGGAAACATGAAAACAAGTGTCACACACACACACACACACACACACACACATATATATATATATATATATATATGTGTATATGTGTATATATATATATATGTGTGTCAGAACTAGAACTAGAACTTTAACTTTGAGGTGAAATACAGTACAACAAACAAGGTTTTATCTAAACAACTTAATAAATACCTCAGTCCTGCTGTCTTCCTGTAAAAGAAGAGGAAGGGAAGATGTCAGGTAAAGATAGACGGTCAGCAAAAATCCAGTCATCCATCATTTAGATAATGTTCTGATTGAGAGTTGTATATTTGACTGAACTGAGCTCTTTGATAAATTGTCCATGACTTACTGATATACACGTTTCCTCTGGGAAAAGTTTGCACTGCAGCTCAGCCGGCCAGGAAACACCAAAACTGTTCATCAGACTCTCACAGCCCCGTTTGGCTTTCTCACAGAAAGACCTGCAGGGCCGCTGCACCTCCCCAGCCACACACTGGGGGGCGTACACTCTACACAGGAAGAGGCGTATGTCCACCGAGCACACAGTTTGCACTATCGAGTTGAAAAAGGACATCTTCATGACTGCCTCTCTTTGACTTGTGTGTCCGAGCAGATTGGGCATGATGGTCTGGTTGTAGGACAGACCCTCGCACATCGGTATGGTGATGGGCTCACACATCCCCCCACTGCTGCTCACTCCATACTGGAACCACACACAAGTGAGAGACAGCCTCAGCTTTCAACACATCACAACTTCTTCTTTAGTGGGTTTTTTTACCTGCATTTAAAAATCTGCATGTACCTGATAATTTTGGTGTGAAAGACGAATGTATAACTTTGGCCACTAGGGGGCCCTCACTCTCAGTAAAAGCAAAAGACCTCGCTTGATGATGTCGTGAAGTAGTGTGGAATTGTTACATAATATATTTATGTCCCATTAAAAGTTAATAGTTAGTTAGTTAGTTAGTTAGTTAGTTAGTTAGTTAGTTAGTTAGTTAGTTAGTTAGTTAGTAAGACAGATTTATGGTCAGGTTCAATAAAACATCCCATCATGATCAACGGTGTAACAAAGCTCAGACTTACGTGTTCGCAGGACTCCAAAGTAAACGCTTCACACCTGAGGTTTTCAGGCCACTGTAAACCGAACTTGTTCATCAGTGACTCACAGCCGGACCGTGCCTGCTCACAGAGCGTCCTGCAGGGAGGCCGAACTTTTCCTGCCACACACTCCGGAGTGTAGACGGAGCACAGGAACGGCTTGAGATGAGGGGAGCACTCCACTTTAACCAGTGGATAAAACTGATGTAGTTCCAAACCTGCCTCCTCCTGGGTCTTGTGGCCCAACACATTGGGCAGCGCAGTCTCAGTGTAAGGAAGGTCTTTGCAGAGAGGGACGTTGATCATCTGACATGTTGGGAGGGGTGTTTGGGCATCAACGCTGTCTGGACCCTGGATCTATAAACGGAAATGTAAATCAGTGAATTCCAAACTATTGTGTCACTCCTGTGGTTTTCATTTCTCACAAGTGCACATACACTCTTTCACTGCAGTGTTTACATGACCTTTAAAACAGTAACTCTGACCAGGATTTGTCCGTCCATCTGTGAGACACTTGCACGTAACTGATACTTGTTCTGGTTATGTTCCTCTTAATTTAAGAGTGTGGTCTTTCAGTTTGAGAGCAGGACTTATTGATTTTACGTAATGCTTTCACTCGAACCCTGCGCTCTCATACAAATAACCCCTGCATGTGCTCAACCAATAGAATGCCATGTGTGGCGTTGACAAACTGAATTGTCCAGGCGGGGACTATGAGTGCAAACGAAAAAATATCTGAGTGCAAGCACACAGTTTGAGCACAAGCAGAGCAAATCTAAGTGAAACGCGATTCTGTCCAGTGGGTACGGGCAGCAAAGATGTCAGCACCCAACCTGAGTGAGCACATTAGGTCCAGTTTCATAATCAATGTCTTTATGAAATTCTGGAAACACTCCGAGGTTTTTGAAATGAGAATGATTCCACTGAGGTCCATGCACAAAGAGCCCCGCGTGGGATCCTTACTCAGCAGCGTCAGTGTATCAGGAACGTAAAGGTTTGATCGTACGTCCTCAGTAAACATCTCTATGTCCACATGTTAGTGCTGAAGAGGGCGGACTTACGTGTTCACATGATTCTGTGGTCATTGTGTCACACCTGAAGTTTTCAGGCCACATGAAGTTAAACGTGTTCATCAGTGACTCACAGCCGGACCGTGCCTGCTCACAGAGCGTCCTGCAGGGAGGCCGAGCTCTTCCTGCCACACACTCCGGAGTGTAGAGGGAGCACAGGAAGGGCTTCAGATGAGGGGAGCACCCCACTTTCACGAGTGGAGTAAACTGATGAACTTCCAGGCTTGCCTCCTCCTGGGTTTTGTGGCCGAGGAAATTGGGCAATATGGTTTCTGTGTACAGTAAGCCTGAGCAGAGAGGGACGCTGATCGTCTGACATGTTGCAGGGGGAGTTGGACTAACCCTGGCCTCTTGACCCTGGAAGAACAGAAACATAAATCAACAATTTCTAAAACAACTAAATTCCTCCTCTGCAGTTCTCACCAACCACAACAAAACATTTGGTTTATGGCCAAGTTTTTATTTGAACACTTTGTCTAACATTGTGAGAACATTGATTTCGCAGGGAACTAGAATGTCACTCAGTTGAGCTCGTTCCTCCTCGAGGCCCAACAGGCTCCTTAAAATCCATTTCTTAATTTGTTTGTTTGTCACCAAGATTACACCAAAACTACTGAGCTACTGAACTTCATCACTGTCTGTCTTTTTTGTTGTTGACACTTTCACTAATTTCTACATGTTGAGGGCACTTACATTTATGAATGTGTGCGATTTTGGTGCAAATCCAAATAAAGATATGGATCGTGTGTATTTAAAGGCCTTGGAGGCTGATTGTACCATCTCCTTACTCCCCTTCATTTAAATATCCGCAAGAAAATGAATAAGGACATTTTCCAAAATGTCAGAAGTCTTTAAAGAGTCTGTACGAAAAACAAAAGACTCTTCAAACATAAGACTTGATGTACCCATTATCTAATACTCACCTGTACACAGCTCGACTGTGGTAAAGCTTCACACCGGAGCCTCGTCGGCCAGGACAACCGCTTCGCTCTGAGCACAGACTCACAGTCTGTCTTGACCTTCTCACAGAGAGCTCGGCATGGCTTCACCCTGCTGTCGTCCTCTGAGCTGCATTCTGGCACAGCAATGCGACACATGAGTGTGGCGACTGCTGGTGAACAGGCCGTCTCCACAATCTGACCAATCTGCTGCAGGTTGAAGCCTTGGACTCCACTCGGATGGAGGGTAGTGGTGTATCCCACACCTTGACAAAAGCTGGCTGTTACCGGCTTGCAGTTTGGCCTGTCATCTCTGCCGCTGTGTGCTTGCTGAGGAAACAGCAGCAACCCCACAACCACCAAGATGAAACACTTCATAGCTCTTGGGAACCTCGACAACGTTACTGCGCAGTTTAACAAAGCCTCCGACGTTTGTGACTCTCTGGAGGTGGAGTACCAGTCTGCGAATAGAGTTTCTACAAAGAAGGAACTGATTTCGGACCACTGGAGAGGCACATGTCAACAAGATGCTTGACACATAATGAGAACCAAACTGGTCTCAGAGCAGCAGCCCGATTCTGAGGAATTCAAAGCAAGGGATCTTGAGCTGTGTACGAAGCTCAACATCTGGTTGTGATTTTCTGCAGAATCTTAGGGGGTGAGAATTTATCTGGCACATAACTCTGACTTCTGGAGGGAAGGTACTTCAGCACTGAAACCTTGTTTGTTGCATGTTTTTTAAACCTCAGTCTGTCCAGTTGTCTGGAACTTTGACATCCAAAACAAAAAGTTGATTATTTTACACAGGGTGATGTAATAAGACATCTTCCAAAGACAAGGTGCTTGACTTTCTAATTCAAACATCATGTGAGAATCAGTGCTTTTGAGTGGAGGGGAATTAATATATATTTGAGCTCTTGAATAGGACTAATTGATAAATTGAATGAATGAACTATAGACAGAAACAGACAGGACTTAGTGCCAGGTACTAAATGAATAGGACAAGTTTATAGAGACTGTGTGTTTGTCTCAGGAGCTGTGTCTCACTTCAGAGGCTGCATATGAAGACTGATCACAGCGGTGATACTGACACCAGCCGAGCGCAGGTGAGGATTTGTTGCATAAATCTGGCAAAATAACTCTGACTCAACACCCGACACTGGCAACAGATGAAACTTCTGATGCTTGAGTTTCACACTTCAGCTACACAACAGTTCACATTTACACACGTTCAAAAACAGAGATCTACAGCAATTCTCAGCAGACCAGACCGTCTCATTCCAGTTCGGCCCATGAAGGACGTGTCCTATAGTCTGTGTCCTCTGGAGGATGCAGCCCCTAAACTGAGACACAGCTATGAACCAAAAACACCTTGCATTCAAATTCTGCAAAGTCTGCACAAAAGTCCCTCTGATGCACACTGGACCAAATGCGAGTCAGTGTCAGAAACACTTGAACCTACATCAGTGTGATAAGAACGACCTGAAATGACAGAAACCATCTTTATTTCTTTATTTAATGTCTACATAGTTTAGTTTTATTTAGCAATGTCTCATCTGATAACATGGAGGATACAGAATGTGTTGCTTATACTGTTGACGATGGAGGCGCTTTGTCTTCACTTGTTGGAGCCTTCATGTTGTTCGTCGTTATTTTGGTTTATTATCACTCTTAAGAGATGTGCGTTCTGATCCAGACAGATTTGTACTTGAACCAGAAAAAAATTCTTCTCTCCGGAGACTGTGTGCAGAATCTGAGCGAGGCATTTCCCTCCAAGTGTAGATCGGCCAATCAGAGGAGCTGAAGCAGAGATGAAGCACACATGATAACGTCCAAACCCTCTGACCTGAACTGTCTGTATGTGCCATCAGGTGATATCATACGAAACCCACGATGAAGAATTCCAGTGGATTAGATTAAAGTCAACATTGGGGTGTGACAGATTGAGACGATAGCTTGTCCTCAACATCTGACGACTCCAGAACCAGACCAGCAGCTTGACGAGGTGATCGTGAGGTGACGGAGACATTCCTGAGAGATACCTGAAGTTATCGGCATATTTCAGTTCCCAGGGATGGGAGGATGAAAATTCCATTTACAACTGGCGTGCGTAAACAAAGAACATACATAGAAACTCAGAGGAATGTGCAGCTGTACAACGAGCTATAGAAAATAATGATGAATGGACAACTTTATCGATGCTATGACGTGAGGAGGATTCGATAAAAATGATAATGCAGTAGAAACAAATGACCAACTCTACCTTTAATATAAAAACTGAAGAGTATAAATAACACATTGTGGTTTTAGTGACGTAGGAGATTTATCATCTAATGTTGGACTGTCGGTCTCAGCAGGATTATCAGGTTTGTCCTCATTCAGCCTCGACAGTTGAAGACGCCCTCTGCTTCCATTGCACTTTAGTACAATTTGCTTTTAACAAGTCTTCCTCCTGAATCTTCTTCTTCTCCTCAGATGTGTGTGTGTGGGGGGGGCTCAGGGAGCAGCTGTGCCAGGGGGTTAGTGGGGGAGGGGTAGTTAGTGCAGCTGATTGCTGTTAGCTGATTACTCCTCAGTTTCGAGGGAGCATGTGCGAGCTGCAGGAAACCGAATAGCTGTGTCTCGTCCCAAAAAGAAGACCAGTCCGTCTCACCTCCACCGGATGGATCCTAGTTTTTAAATGTTAGTACTCACCTCAACATGTGGACATGATAAAGAAGACATATTTTCAGTCTTTATGATCAACTGAAGAACTTCCTCGGCCGTGGCTCTGTTGCTTGGCGACGGCTGTAAGGGCGGGACGAGTGTGGCCTGTGAAGGATGCAGTTGTAGTAGCAGTTATTGTCACATTAAGAAAAATGTTGGTGATCACTGCTTGAATCCCAGTAGAAGGATGGGACGTGAGTAAGAACTTAAACTTTGGTGCGGAGGACCAAAATCCAGGAATTATGTTTATCGTTCCATCGATGTGAACGCAATGTCTGAAGAACACCTTGAGAAAATGTCTTTGGTAGAAACGTTCACTTGAACGAACAGAATCACTGATTAGATTGTGGTGGTCAAAGGTCAAGGTCATGGTGGCCTCAGAAAACATGACCTGGTAGAGATGTGTCCAACAGAAATGTCTGTCCACGGTCCTGAGCTACAGGCCCAGAGAGAGGCCTCGTTTTCCCCTCCATCAGAAGGTGACACATTCTGGGGACATTATTCTTTATGCTGCATTTTCAGGCCTGATTCACGACGTCCCTGATTGTGTCTCCCTACAATGGTCACACATGGTGGCGGAATATGATAAGATGTGAATTCAAGGGCAGAGATACAGCACTCTCTGCCCTAACCTGTTTTATAACTTTTATTGTCCCTTTAAAAAAATGATGAATTAATCAGTCTTTTCAATCAACAGCAACAGAGAGGTCCTGATTTTATCTGGAGAGGCAGAGCTATAAATGTGACGAGAGGACGACGAGAGTTGTTTCTCCTTCTCCTCATCTTCTTCAGACCTTCCTCCGCAGCTTCGATCATTCCAAGGTAATTTCACCACCTATAAAATATCATATCGCTGAAATAACTGAAGTTACAAAATGTTATATTTAAGCTCCATCAAATAATTTTGTTATATCCCGAAAATATTTGTCTTTCTTTTTGAAAAATCTATATGAAGTTGCAAAATCAAACATTGTCAGAATTTCTGACCCAAAATGTCAAAATGAGAAACATTAAAATCTAAATAAACACGTTCTTAAAAACAGATTTTAACTTTTAAATGTATTTCATTGTTTGATTTTGTCCACTGTCTTTCATTTCTTAATAACTGACTAATAATAATAACCTGTAGCAGCAGTAATATCCACAGCCAGATTAAAACGTGTTACTTTCACAGAACAACAAACCAATCAAATGTCTTTTCTTGAGCTAGAAAAGCTTGTTGACGTCGGTGTCTCTGCACCAGTCCGTCCTCAGTGTCTCTGCACCAGTCCGTCCT